TTATTACTTTGTTCAAATACATATTCCAATAAACATTAAGTACCTACTAAGAACCAGGCGTGTAGACATGAGGCAGATTAAGGTTTAATCCTCAGGCTCCAGGATCTACACGTGAAAAGATAATAGTGTATTAAATCCCAAGAAAGAGGGGATTCCGGGATGTGTGGGGAACCATAACACGATTGTCCTGGAGGAACTGCTGCCTGAGTAAGCAGGATAAGTAGGTCATGGCCTTGTGAAGAAGGTGGGAAGAATGGTCCTGCAGAGTGAGTCATTCAGGAAAAGACCAAAATGTTTAGAGAATACATCCAGTAGATCAGAATAGCTGAAGAATGGAGGCTGCTCCAGGAGAGAAGGAAGGGAGAAAAGCTGAAGGAGGCATCTAGAGAAGGTAGCAGGGACCAGATCAGGAAGGATCTAAATATTTCAAGTGAGGAAAAATGGGCTTTAGCCCAAAGGCAGTGGGGAACCTTGGCCAGAAGATCGTACGTCTTCTGATCAGCATATCAGTCTGGCAGCAGAGGTGGGCGTGTATTGGAAGGCAATAGAACTGAGAACTAGCAAAGAGACTACAGCAAACCAAGTAACAAATAACCAGGGTCTCAAACAAGCAGTGGCTGTGCCTATGGTGAGGAGAGGGAAGATCCAGAGTCATTTCGGAGACAGACCAGATGGGGAATAGTGATTTATTGTGGGCAGAGAAAGAAAGGAAGAGGTGGGGGGAGAGGAGCTATAAGGCACTGATCTGGGAAACAAGCTGCACCGTGATCCTGTTCCCTGGGTCAGGGAAGACAGGAAGAGGCCCAGGCTTGGGGGAAGATGATGGTTACCTGGAAAGATCAAGTTCCAACAGGACGTGCATCTCAGCTTGCTTGTCATGTGAGAACCGTAGGGGATAGTTTGAATAAATCTTTTTTATTTTTGATAACAAGCAACCTGTAACGCCCTTGTGGTACTTGCTGTTGTCACCACTCTTTCCCGAGGCCACATTCACTCGTGGATGTGGATACCTGTCACAATGGGCACACAGAGGATGAGGCCAAGGGATAGGAAATACTTCAAGAAAGGGGACCGAGTATTTACATATCCATTTTCCTCATATACAGCCGATAGGGAACAGCAAAGTGTGGGGGTAAGGGAGAACCTAAGAACTGGACCACTGCTTTTGGAAAGAGCCCTTTGTTTAAATATAGTGGGAGAACTGAGCTCAGTAGGATTGAAGCACAGAGTGAGATCAGTTTTCTGCAAAAGTTCTGAGTGGCCAACGCACCATGTGAAGGAGTTGGTCAGGGCTGAGCCATCCCAAGGGGCAGGCTCATACACAGGGGCCCGAGGCTAGGCTGGGGAAACCAGGTAAAGGGACCCAGGGGCTGCTTGCTACTGGGAAGCCAGGAGGAGATGGCATTTGTTAAAGAGGGCTCATTGTAGAATGAGCCTGCTAGGGTCTTTTCAGATGCAGAGTTCAGAAACAGCAGCTCTAGAGTTGGGAAATAGTCCATGGGGAGCAGGGAATGAGGTAGGTCAAGCTAACTCTTCCAGCCAGCATTCATGCTAAAGGAAGTAGAATCTGGGATCTAAGATGTCAAACCAAGATATGAAAGAAGGGATGGGGTGGGAGGAGAAGCAAGGGGAAGTGGGCAGTAGGTTAAGAGGCTTATCGAATCTGTCTGGGAACCACAAGAAGCTGGGGTCCAAAGGTCTGGGATTCTTGGATTTGCTACGTCTAAGCTCTTAAGAGGTCTCTGGCACCACCAGAAAAGGTCTTCTGACATGATTTGGCTCTGGCATGATTTGGCTACTTTTCTCTTCTACCTCACGTTTTCCCTTACTACATTAATTGCTGAAAAACTAAACAACAATAGTTCCTGGAACACATCATGCTTATATTGTTCTCTTTTCCTAGAAATATGCTTCCACTGCTTTGCCTACCTGGAGAACTCTTGTCATCTTTCAAAACCAAGCTATGATGTCACCTACTCGGATCCTCACAATATAATATTATCATTGTATGTAATGTACTCTCTGGCAATTGATCAAAAGTGGAAGTCATTCACCTCAAGCTTAGCAAGTAGTTTGCTTACAATATGTATCTGATAGGCACGGGCCTCTTTGCAAATCTTATGAATGCTGTGATTCATCCTCCCAGAAAAATGCCCATCTGCACAATGCTCCAGGAATCCCTTGAAACCCATTACCCCTCCCCCTCTTTCTTTCCCAGATTTAGAATTCCTTTCCTAGAGTCACCTATGAAAGGATATATCCTAATATGTCTCTGGTTCACCGTTCTCTGGCTAGGGTGCTGACATAGTAATGCATTCCCCTGACTGGTTTGTTTCCAGTAACTTAGCAGTACTGCCTCACTTAGAAGAATTTTAACAACAGAGATTCCTGATTGTTTGGTGCTGGCCCAAATCAGGGGAGATCTCTTAGCCTCTCTGGGTCACTACAGCCCCTCAGCCACCACTGATGCTAAGCTCTGCAAAACAAGGGAGATACTAGGGCAACGACAACCACATACTCTATTCCAGCCATCCAAGGAGTTGGCCTCTCAGAGATGAGCTGAAGAAAGAGTGAGGTGACTCTAGGAAAGGAATTCTAAATCTGGGAAAGAAAGAGGGGAGGGGTAATGGGTTTCAAGGGATTCCTGGAGCATTGTGCGGAAGGGCATTTTTCTGGGAGGATGAATCACAGCATTCATAAGATTTGCAAAGAGGCCCATGCCTATTAAAATTAAGACCGACCCACTGTTCAAGACACATGCCTTGTTCGAGGCAGTTCTACTCAAAGCACTAGCTGTTGACCTTACCTCTCAGAGGACTTGGTCATGATCAAAGCAGGTCAGGGAAGGGAGCTAAGTTCCCCCATAGCTCAGCACTTACACATTCCCATACCACCCTGAGAAAAAAGCCCTTCTGAAGGCAAATGCTGTGTATAATTTAAAGCAGGTCCATGATCTGTGTCCTGTACAACATCAAACGCAATGAGTGAGAAGGAATTAGCCTCAGGATACCTCTACATTGACCTTTATGTTCTTTAGAACAATAAACCTGCCCCCTAAATAAAAAGGCAAATCTCCAGGGTCTCATTCCTGATGAAAAGTCAAGCCTGACCTCCTCATCTCAGTGCGGGGCTCTGGCAACATTAAATAAACAGACAAATCCTGTGCAATGGCTCTTTTACATCTGACCCTTTTTAACCCCCCCACCCCCGGCATAGAAACAGGTGGTGTTAGAAGACAACAGAAAAAGGCTTTCCATGTTAGAGGCAAGAAGCACACACATAAGCAGAAAGCAAATCTAAAACTGAAGAGGCCTGTGCTAAACTCTGGGGAATTGAGAGTCACTTTTCACCCACATCCTGTAAGGGTAGAAAAAACACAGGAAGAAGGTTTCTACTAAAATGTGTGTTTTGTTTTTCCTTTCTTTTTTCTTTTTTTAAAGAATAACATGAATCACTCAAATCCACCCAGATATCTGAATACCTCTGCTGGACGTTTTTTTTGTTTGCTTGGTTCCCACTGTCCCTTCCCTGACTTCTGAAAAGATAATTTTAAATAATATCCTCAGAGTGACTCTTTAAATTTCTGTTTTAGGAGCACATGCTTTTTACCCAAACAGATGTGGACTCTGTAATTGACCTGCTAAGTAGTGCTAGATAAGTTTTGGGACCTCTTTAAGAACCCCATTCTTTAGCAACTAAAATGGGTGTATGAATAGTACTGACTTCAAAGGGTTACTGAGAGAATTAAATGAAATGATGCATTAAAAATCATGGACCAGCCTGACACACTGGAAGCATTCAACAAATGGTAGCTAAAGAATAGGAGTAACATCTCCGTCAATGAGGAAAACCATTCCAAGGACACCTTTCGTGCATTACTGTATGTTATAACAGAAAGAAAAACTACCCAGAAATAGTAGGTCTGTATTTCTCAGTGAGGACTCCCTCCTTTATGCATTTGAAGGGGTAGACTGTCTTCCTCACCTTCACGTGAGTTTAGGTCAGGAGAAGGGTCCCCTCCCTCCCTGCAATAACATGGCTTGTCTGTCTAGGCCCATGGATGGCCTAGAAAACCATGGCTGGAAGGCACATTACATATTTCCCAGCAGCCAGGTCTTGGGAGTTCCATTCGTGCCTCCAGAAAACCCCAGCCAGGCTTGGGCCTAACTCTATACCATCATGTTTTCTGCCTACCTTCACTATGTCCAATGGAGCCAAGTGACCTGGATGGTTCTCCCAAGTTCATCTAGGCCAGGAAATGATATTCCTGAGGCTTTGTTAATCAAGTAACCATCATCCTTCAGGAGCTATTAGGATTCCACTTTTATCTTTTTCTCCAAAAGAATTTTTATCTACTTTAACCAAGCCTGAAAAATCTTACCTAAGTTTTTTTGTTTTTTGTTTTTTAAAGCATTAGAGAATAGGGGGAATCCTCCTTACTTCTGACAGTCACTCCAGTTAAGTTTGCATGCAATTGTCTTTGCTCTACCCGGCAAGCCTCATTCCCGATCACCTCTCACTCAGAGTACACAAAAGAATTTCAGCAAATGTACTGCTCCCATCAGGGTTCTGTATCCACGCTGATCTCCAGGGAGCCATTTATAAACCCCAAGCACATTTTCTTTAAACTCGTCTCCCCAGTTGGAATCTTACTTCTTCTAAGATTTGAATATGGCTTTTCTTGCTAATCACTGCATTAAACCTAAATCCCATTCTTTTCTTATTAAACTATTTTTCCACAAGGGAGAAAGTAAACATAGCTTTCTTGTTTATATATATATAACTAACAAGCTAAATCATATATATAACTCCCTTATCATCTACCAATTCTTTCACCATCAAGGAAGAATGACTCAGTACCAAAACTGGGAAAGGTGGGATTCCACAGGTACATTCTGGACATTCCTTATTTTTATGCTTGTTATATATAAGTGGCAGCCACAATTTACATGATCATAGACGACGTTTCAAAGGAAATCACAGCAACAACATTTCCTTACCCGGCAGTCTCTCTGAAGTGTTTTCATAAGCGCATTGTATGTTTCTGTATCAAAATACAATCCTTCGTGCATGTCTTGCAGGAAATCTAAGTCCTTAAACGTGGGGTTGGATTTCTCTCTCTCTTTTCGGGAGGCTCTTCGCTTATAGGTGGAGCCTTTCAAGTCATACGTAAAGTGCATCCTCATGGAGCGTGGCAAAACATTGTTCATCACCACAATCCTGATGTTAATGCCCCCTGACTGCATGCAGTAAAGTCCATAGAATTTTGGCAAAAGAGTCCTTGGATTCTGGTTTAAATTCTAGAAACAAACAGAAAATAAACTATTTTTCATCTCCTATTTTTACAAACCAGTGCTCCACTAAGGCTGTCTTTGCATGCGGATTTAATAATTAAAAGTGGAATGTGATTATTTTTATTAATGTCCATCGCTAAAGTTTTGCTGTAGCAAGTGTATCTATTAAGTCTGCCTATTGGAGCAGCAACGTTACCATTCTATACTCAGGACAGTAAAAGTAACTAAACTGAAAATGGACCTAATGTCTCAAATTGCTGGGTATAAGAGATGAACATTTTAAATGTTAACACTTCCTGCAAAACTGTTTTCCAAAATGGCAGACCAATCTACAACCACACTATGTAAGACTATTATGTTTCCCATCACTCTTACCAGAGCTGAATGTTATCAAATTTTAAAATCTTTGTAAGCAAGAGTGGTGAAAAATAGAAATCTATTTTTTAAAATTTGAAATCACTAATTTTTATAGAAACAATATTTTTAATGTATTTTTAGCCACCTCAAAGATAATTTTGTGTTAATATTTTTTGTTCATTTTTCTTTAGGCTTTTGTCATTGTTGGAATTCTTGATATATTTTGGATATTTCTCATTTTCCTCTTTAATATGGGGTAAATATTTTCTCCTGGTATGTTTTTAAAATTATTATAAAATAGGAGTACATGCCTATGTTTGTTCTACATTTAAAGTAGTTAAGAAATGAAAAGAGTTTACTCAAGGGCATATATGCAATAAAACATCTTTCTGCTATCTCAATTCCCAATATTTGAGGAAACTACTGTTCTTACTTTATGCCATTCCAGAAATAGTCTATGCTTATATTAATTTTGTGTCTGGTATTCTTTGTCATGTAGATGCTTTGCCTTTTGATGAAGTCACATTTATCTACTTGTTTCCTGTACTTTTTCTACTTTCTGTTTACCAAAGCTGTTTACACTCCACTGCTATAAATTTCTATTTTCTTTCGAATCCTTAATAGTCTTGACCATTATGCTTAGCCTTTATTCCATATGGATTAATATTGTGTGCATAAGATGAAATAGGAAATTTAAATTTTCTTTCTAATGGATAGCCATTTATTGCACAGTTTGGCCTTTACCAGTTGAGTTTAAATCCCTCCATGTCAATATAATAAGTTGTCAAATCCACATGAGTCTTTTTCCAGACACTGTATTTGAATCCATTGTCTACAACTGTACTAATACCACATCTTTTTTTTTTTTGAGTTGGAGTCTCACTCTGTTGCCCAGACTGGAAGGCAGTGGCCGCTCCCGGCCACCGCAGCCTCAACTTGCTGGGCTCCAGTGATCCTTCCACCTCAGCCTTCTAAGTAGCTGGAACTACAGGTGCATGCTACCACGCCCGGCTAATTTTTTTTGATTTATTGTAGAGATGAGGTCTCGCCAAGTTGCCCAGGTGGGTCTCGATCCTCAGGCTCAAGCAATTCACTCATCTCAGCCTCCCAAAGCATGGGATTACAGGCTGAGCCACCGAGCCTGGCCTAATACCACATCTTTAACGTTAGTTGTAGCCTTACCGGTTGTTGGTAGTATATGCTATAGCAGGACCATCATTTTTCTTTTTTTTTCAGAAATGTTTTGTCCATTTCTACAACCTTTCTGTTTGCTCATTTTTTTAAAAGTTCGTAAAATGATGCTTGCTTTCTCCGTCAAATGAATCAGCTCTGTCAGATTCTGGGAAACATTCTATTCAAATTTTTTTATTGGAATTAAATTAGATTTATCAGTTGATTTGGGCATAACTGAAATCTTTACAATACTGAGATCAGGATCAATTTCATTATGTCAGATCTTTTTGATAGCCTTCAATAACATGTTGCAGTTTCCCTCATATTGGTCTTGCAATACTTGTTTTTGTAGACTCAAGTATTTTAGAGTTTTTCTTGTTATTACAAAAATTCTTTCTGAACTGATTATTCAATATGTTACATTTACTATAACTTACTTTCCCTATCAGAATTCCAGTATTCATAAGTCTTCATTTATGTATATCTTATCTGAGCACAGCAACTCATGCCTGTAATTCCAGCATTTTAGGAGGCCGAGGCAAGGGGATAACCTGAGCCCAGGAATTTGAGACCAACCTGGGCAACATAGCAAGACCTTGTCTTTACAACAAATCAAAAAAATTAGTGGGTATGGTGGTATGAACCTGTAGTCCCAGCTTCTAGGAAGACTGAGGCAGAAGAATTGCCTGAGTCCAGTGGTTGAGGATGTGGTGGCTGTGATGGTGTCACTGCATGCCAGACTAGGTGACAGAATGAGACTCTGACTCAAAAAGAAAAATAAATTTTTTCTTTTTCTGAGTTGGAGTCTCACTCAGTCGCCCAGACTGGAGTGCAGTGGCCGCTCCCGGCCACCGCAGCCTTGCCTACTGGGCCCCGGCGATCCTTCCGCCTCAGCCTTCCGAGTAGCTGGAATTACAGGCATGCGCTACCACGCCCGGCTGATTTTTTTTTTTTTTTTTTTTTTTATTGTAGAGATGAGGTCTCGCTGCCCAAGCGGGTCTCGAACCCGCGGGCTCAGGCAATTCACTCACCTCAGCCTCCCAAAGGCGCGGGATTATAGGCTGAGCCACCGAGCCCGGCTAAAAGAAATATTTATATTTTTATTTTTCCAATAATGTTCATTATACGTTGTCATAATAAACAGGATCTCTCTTTTTTCTCCTTATATTCTCCAGCATCTATATAATAGAATACAATCGATTTTGTAGATTTATTTTATATCCTGCAAACCTGCTGGACTCATTATTTCCAGAAATTTCTAGTTTATTTTCCTGAAGCTTTGCTCATTTTCAATTTTTGTTTTACAGAGGACAACACTACTTATCCTTTTCTACTATTTCTTTTTGTTTTCAAAGAGTCATTGTCAGAATTTCTAGCAAGTGTGTTGGAAAGGACCACTGATGGAGGGCATCCTTGTCTTCTTTTTATTGTTTCCAGGGAAAGGACTCTTGTTTTTCTCCATGAGATAATATGTGAACTTTTGGAGACTGATAAATGTACAACATATGTGTGTTCATTTATTTACCTATTAATTTTAAAAACTTGCCTGCCAACTCTTAAAATTTTAATTAAGTAAATATATTCAAATTTGAAGGCCTTAGTTTCTTCCTTAACATCTATCCCAAATAACCACATGATGTCCACATGTTTCTTGTTAATGATAAATTATATTGCTTGTTACACTAGCTTACATGATTGGGACAAAACCATTTGATCAGTTAAATTTTATAATTTTATTTACTTTAAATAAAATGTAAACAGCTACATATGGCTAATGACTACCATATTAGACAATGCAGTTCTACAATAAGGAAATAGTATAGGTAAGCGTAGAATGGTAGAAGTTTAATGTTTACTCATTTAGCATGTTATCAAAGAGCATGATGTCAACTTGATCCCAATTTTACATTATTTAAAAATGTGTGTATGAATAGAACACATCTGAAAGCATACACATCAAATATTAGTCATATGTATTTCTGGGAAAGATTATAGTTGGTTGCATTGTTTTCTTTTTCTTTTCTATTTTATCTCAAAAAAAGAAAATACTTGTTTAGGATCAAAATCCTAAGACTTTTATTTAGATTTTTGATTTCTATATGGACTTGCATATAAGATTAATTTATAGTATTTAATGTTATCTCTAGTAGATTTTGGAATTAAAACAATACTTTTACATATAAATGAGTTGTATGGCATCTCATAGATTTTTTTTTAAACAAAGATGACAGTTATCACCTCTCCTAGCAAATGAATAGCAAAAGTAGGAATTCCTGAAATCTAAACAGCCTCATGCAGCCATCCCAATCACAGAAACCTAATAACTAAGGAAAGTACAATGAAACCAGAAGTATGAAAATGACAGGATGACTTAGGAAGAGTATTTCTTTTTTTTGAAAATTTGGGCAAAACGTGTAGTAAATTTATCTGGCATAAGTTATGATTTCTTTGTCTCTAAAACATTACATGAAAGGTGATTTTCATGTTATCATATTTAACCTATGAAATTCTAAATTCTGAAGTATAGTAGGAACAGCTAATGCAGGATACATGCTGGTACATAGGAAATGCTGGATACAGCTAATGCAGGACATGCTGGTGTATAGGAAAAATGCACCCTCGGGTGCCCTACTGCTTGGGAAACCCCAGCTCTGTGGTTCTCAGGCTGAACCATCCTTGAACTTGAAGTTGAACTTGAATGGCAAGCTATTCAATTTATCTTTGCCTCAATGACCTCACCCATAAAATGGCAATAATTATAGTATCCAAGGTTGCTGTGAGAATTAAATGAGTTAATAAATGCAAAGTACTTAAAGTCTTTCTTAACAGGTAGCAACCAATCAATGAATGTTAGCTATTTATATTATTACTATGATAGGCATTTCTTAGCTTTTAAAGACTAAGGGAACTAAAGCTCAGCAGTTATGTTGCTTACTCAGGGCCACACAGTTAACTGATGGCTGAGCTGGGATTTGAACTCAGGACTGTGTGACTCAACAACTATGCTCTATCATTCAGTTCTAGTTTACTTTTTTTTTTTGAGTTGGCGTCTCACTCTGTCACCCAGACTGGAGTGCAGTGGCTGCTCCCGGTAACCACAGCCTTGACCTGCTGGGCTCCAGCAATCCTTCCGCCTCAGCCTTCCAAGTAGCTGGAACTACAGGTGAACGCTACCACACCCAGCTAATTTTTTTTGATTTATTGAAGAGATGAGGTCTCACCAAGTTGCCAGGCGGGTCTCGAACCTGTGAGCTCAGGCAATCCACTCACCTCAGCCTCCCAAGGTGCAGGATTACAGGCTGAGCCACCGAGCCCGGCTCTAGTTTACTTTTTTTTTTTGGAGTGCAGTGGCCGCTCCCGGCCACCGCAGCCTCGACTGCTGGGCTCCGGCGATCCTTCTGCCTCAGCCTTCCAAGTAGCCGGAATTACAGGCGCACGCTACCACGCCCGGCTGATTTTTTTGATTTATTGTAGAGATGAGGTCTCGCTGCCCAGGCGGGTCTTGAACTCGCGGGCTCAGGCAATCCACTCACCTCAGCCTCCCAAAGGCGCGGGATGACAGGCTGAGCCACTGAGCCCGGCTTCTAGTTTACTTTTTAAAAAAATCTCTTCAATGTACAAGAGGGGACCCCAAGAACCCCAGACTCTATAAAAAATTGTGTATTTATTCTTCCACATTTAAACTTCAGTCACCTTCAAAGTACTCTCCATTTGATGTAATACACCTATCAAGATGCTTATTCCACTGCTCAAAACAGTTTTCGAACTCATCAATTCGGATACCCTTCAGTGCTTTCTTTTTTTGTTTGTTTGTTTCACCTCTTCCACATTGACAAAACGTGTCCTTTTGAGGACTTTTCTCATCTGGGGAAACAAAAAAAAGTTGCTTGGGGCGAGACAGGGTGAATAGGGAGGGCGGAGCATGGAGGTCATGCCCTTCTTAGTCAAAAACTGCTGAACACTCAGCATGGTGTGGGCAGATGCTCTTGTAAATCACTAATCATGAGATGGGCAAACACATTGAAAGAATCTCCAAAACAACAAAAAAAATTCACTGAAGCCAAATGCAGCCTCTCACAACAATGCTAGCTGATACACCAATGCCAATAGGTTCCTATAGAACACTTACCTAGCAGGGGAAGCCTGTACTCTAAGGGGCGTGTCCTCCAAAAGATAATTCCTGATTTTTGGGTCCCCCCTTACATGTCATAGCATAAACCAAGTGCACAATAAAATTCACCAAAGAGAAGAAACATGTCAAAGAGTCATTGGAAAAAAAAATGGAAAAGAAAACTGTTGAGAAAAGTAATTAAACCTTAAGTGGAAGCTTTAATTACACACAATTACTTACCATGTAATAGCCTGGCAGTAGCTTCTGAAGGAACTCAGCTTCCTTATGCTGGACTGTTTTGATGATAAATTCATCATCACTGGTCACAAAAAACAAGGATCCACTTGCTCCAGGGTTGGATAGCTCTATTAGAGGTTCACTGCAGATGGAATACTAAAAGGGAAAATAAATAAACATTTATAAAATGAACTCAATGTATGTGATGCTTCCAAGCAGAATAATCACAGCTTTGTATATCCTGGCCATTTTGAAATAGGAATTCTGTCTACAAGCTTAAAAGGAGGCTCCAGGTACACTAAGAAGGCTCTGTGAGAGTTCTAAAGATATAATTGGTCCATTTATTTCAATAACTCTATTATGGGAAACAGACATGCTTTCCCCAACCCCAGTGTCATGTGATAGAATCATGAATCATTCTATCTGTCCAATGAGACAATTCAAACAGTAACGTGACTAAGGTGTTTTTTTTTCCAGCAAGCACCCATAACAACTGAAGACATGATCTACACTGTGAATTTATCACTTGAAAACCAGTTACTATTCTCTTTTCACTATTTATATTCTCAGGAGATGTTGTCCACTCATGCTTTCCCCAAGATGACTCCAACATCTGTATCTTTGGTCCAGATCTCTCTCTAGAGCTCCAGAGCTGTTCATCTAACATATTAATAGACATTTCTACTTTGTTATACCGCAATTTATATGCAATAAGTTAAGAATGAAATTCATCTCGGGGCTGTGGTAATTAGAAAAGGATGTCCCTTTGTCCTGGAAGATGCAGTTCTGGGTCAGAATAGTGAGTTGGAGAGTAGAAGAGTTGGATTGCAGTCTCTACTCTTTCCCCTCAGCCAGGTAGGAGTACTTGGGCAGTGCATACCCTGCACATCTGTATATGGTGAGACTAGATCATCTGTCTCCCATCCTCTGCTATCCCTCTCTTTCCCTGTCTTAGAGAACGGAAATATTATTTGCCTTGTTCCCCAAACCAGAAACTTGAGCACCATCCACGACTCCTCATATTTCCTCATCTTCCCTATCCAGACTCTTGATTTATGTCATCCCGTCGACCAATACCCTAAGTTCAATGGTTTCATCATTTCATGCCTGGATTATTATGGCAAGCTCCTGGTCTCAATTCTCCACTCTCATCTCCTCCAGTGCATTCACCAGAAAACCAGGGATCTTTCCAAAATGCTAATCTGGAATGCCCTTCAGTGTCTACGCACCTTTCAACGGTTCTTAACAGAGCCTTCAAGGCCAGGAATGACCTAGCCTTCTCCCGGTTTTTGCTCCCATCACTCCTTAAACTTCAGCTGTAGCCACAGAGAGCAGCTTCTCTTGTTCTCAAATGTGCTCTCCACTCCAACGCTTTTGCACTTTCCTCATCTCGAAGCAATCTCCATTCTAATTTTACCTGTTTAGCTACCACTTATTCCTGTATTTAATCAACTTTTAAAAGATAGCTATTGAGTATCTGCTATATCCCAGGCACTCATGACACTTATATCCTAGTAGGAGGAAATGGTAAACAGGTAAATACGTCATATGTCAGAATATGGTAAGTGTTATGAAGAAGAACAAATCATGGGAAGAGAAGCAGAGAGTGCCAGCAATGAGTGAGGGCTGCTTGTAGTAAATGTTAGATGGGCAGTCACTGAAGCCTCGCTGAGAAGGCAGCGTTTGAGCAGAGGCTGAGGAGACAAGGCAGTAAGCCACGTGACGATCTGGAAGAAGGGCATTTCTGGCAGAATGAAGGGCAAATGCAAAGGCCTGAGACCTGGTGGGTTTGAGGCACAGCAAGGAGGCCAGTGGTAGAAGCAGAGAGGGCAGGAGGAACACTGAAAGGGATGAACAAGCCAGAGGGGTCTGGTGGCCTGAGCCGGTAGGGTGCTGTACGCCACCATAAGGACTTTGACCTTTTCTCTAAGGGAACAGAAAGGCCATTGGAGGGTCTGGAGCTGACATCACTCTGTTGGGTTGAGAATCCACTACAAGCGGACAAAAGGAAGATGCAAGGAGCACGATTCACAGGCTGCAACCACAGTTTTAGCCTTAAGTGTGTGCTGGGGCAACACTTGCTCTGGAAACTCTTCCTGGTTCTGTGAGTCTCCATCAATTGCCTTCTGGCCCTGGGTGTTCTCATCATGGAAATTATCACAAAACCCTACAAGTGCCTGTTTCCTTTTCCTGAGTTCTTCAGACTGCACAACTCTGTGAGCAGAAACTAAGAGTATTTCATACTGTGTGACACAGTTCCAGGACCGGTGAACTGTACATACGCAGTGGATGCTCTATAGATTTCTGTCAGATAAATGACTGAACTCCACCAGCAATTGAATGGCTATAAATCTCACCAAAAAGGTTAAAAAACCATCAGGGAAGTCAATTTTTGTTTATTAAGCTCAGTGTTTATTAACTAACAATCCACAATATTGACGAGAAAAACACAGACGGTGGGGAGAGAAAAATGTTAGGAACTTAATGCAGGTGTGAAATCAAAACCAATCTGGCAAATGCAGAGGCTTAAAGAATCATCTCTTTCTTTTTATTGTTCTATTTTTTAAATTTTTAATTGATAATAATTGTATATATTTAGGGGATACAATGTGATGTTTGGATAATGTATATACTGTAGAATGATCAAATCAGGCTAATCAACATATCCATCACCTCCACACTTATTTCTTCATGGTGAGAACATTTAAAATCCATTCTTTTAGCAATTGAGAAATATACAATACATTATGATTAACTATAGTCACCTGGCTATGCAAGAGATCTTCAGAACTTGTCCCTCTTATCTAACAAACTCTGTACCTTTCAACCAACCCTTTCCCTGATTCTCTGCACCACTCCCAACCCCCACTCTCTGGTAATCATCATTCTACTCTCTACTTCTATGAGCTTGACTCTTTTACATTCTACATATAAGTGAGATCATGTGATATTTGTCTTTCTGTGCCTGGCTTATTTCACGTAACATGATGCCCCACAGACTAACCCACCTTATTGCAAACGACAGAATTTCTTTCTTTTTAAAGGCTGAACAGTGCTCTACTGTGAATACATACCACATTAAAAAATCTATGTGTTGATGGGTACTTAGGTTGTTTCCACGCTTACATGGGAGTGCAGATATCTCTTTGGCATACTGATTTCAATTTCTGCGGCTATCTATCCAGGAGTGGGATTGCTTGATCATATGGTCATTCTATTTTTAATTTTTTGAGGAATCTCCATACTGTTTTCCAGAATGGATGTACTAACTTACATTCCTACCAACAGTGTACAAGGATTCCCTTTTCTCTGCATCTCTGTCAACTCCTGTTATCCTTCATCTTTTTGATAATAACCATCCTATCAGGAGTGAGATGATATCTCATTGTGGCTTTAATTTGCATTTCTCTGGTGATTAGTGATGCAAGCATTTTTTCATGTATTTGTAGGTCATTTGTATGTCTCCTTTTGAGAAATGTCTGTTTAGGTCCTTTGCTGACTTTTTAATAGGGTGGTTTTCTTGTTATCGAATACTTTGGGTTCTTTATAGATTTTGGATTTTTTTTTTTTTTGAGTTAGAATCTCACTCTGTCACCCAGACTGGAGTGCAGTGGCCGCTCCCGGCCACCGCAGCCTCGACCTGCTGGGCTCCGGCAATCCTTCCGCCTCAGCCTTCCAAGTAGCCGGAATCACAGGCATGCGATACCACGCCCGGCTGATTTTTTTATTTATCGTAGAGATGAGGTCTCGCTGCCCAGGCGGGTCTTGGACCCGCGGGCTCAGGCAATCCACTCACCTCAGCCTCCCAAAGGCGCGGGATTACAGGCTGAGCCACCAAGCCCGGCATATATTTTGGATATTAACATCTTATCTGATATATGATTTGCAAATATTTTCTCCCAATCTGTGGGTTATTTCTTCCCTCTGGAAACTGCTTCTTTTACTGTGCAGAGGTTTTTTAGTTTGATGCAATTCCATCTGTCCATTTTGCTTTTGTTGCCTGTGCTTTTTAGGTCACATGCAAGAAATCATTGCCCAGACCAACACCATGCAGCCCTTCCCCTATGTTTTCTTCTAGTAGTTGGTACCATTTCTGGCCTTCCAGTTAAGTTTCTAATCCATTTTGAGTTGATTCTTGTATATGGTATAAGATACACATCCCATTTTATTTTTTTGCCTATAGATAGCCAATTCTCCCAACACCATTTATTGAAGAGACTGTTCTTTTCTCCTTGTGCATTCTTTGCACCTTTGTTGAAAATCAATTGACTGTAGATGTGTGGGTTTATTTCTAGGCTCTCTATCCTATTCCATTGGTTCATGTGTCTGTTTGTATGCTAGTACCATGCTGTTTTGATTACTATAGCTTTGTAACACAAAGAACTATATGTTGAGGATGTAAGCATCTGAAAACACCAAGGCTGGAAATTCTCCAAAGACTTTTTTTCTGTGCTGGCCGGGCACAGTGGCTCAAGCCTGTAATCCCAGCACTTTGCGAGGCCGAGATGAGAAGATTGCCTTAGCCCACAGGTTCGAGAACAGCCTGGGCAACTTGGCGAGCCCTCATCGCTACAATCAATCAAAAAATTAGCCGGGCATGGTAGCACGCACCTGCAGTTCCGGCTACTTGTAAGGTTGAAGTGGAAGGATCGCCTGAGCCCAGCAGGTCGACGCTGGGGCGGCTGTGAGCTTGCCACTGCACTCCAGCCTGGGCGACGGAGTGAGACTCCAACTCAAAAAAAAAAAAAAAAGTGAAGTACTCATCATAGAAAAATCTGAAAGGAGGGAGAGTGAGAGGAAATGGGAGAGGAAGGAAAGATAAACTAGAAGAAACATGATTAAAAGGGAGTTTCTAGATGTCACCTTTGACATTATCTTGCTTTAAAAGTACTTTGAGGATAAAGGAAACAAAATTCTCCAAGAAAAGAAATAAGCAAGTGTTGTTGGCCTCCTAAGTCACTGGCAACTTTCATGTCCCTCCTCTTCTTCTTTCTGCTGCCTTGCCTCTTGCTGCTCTCTTGCTAAGCAGCATCAGAGGCTAAGCTCTTGTAGGTGAGTAAGGATAAGTTAGGAAAACAAAAATAACTATCAGACTGCAGCCAGGATGCCACAAAAACCAAGAGGAAGCAAAGGGCTCTTGCCCAGCCATTGTGTGC